GCAGCAGCACTGTTCACCTAACTCCAACAGAACATGTATTCTTTTAATAAAAATAAACTTAGTGGTATGAATTGAGTAGTCAATGATTACAATTTCTGCAGATTATGTATTTGCTCACCCATTTCCCCTTAAACTGTTTTTCAGACTTTTGTGAAAGACTACTTGCCATCTGCCCTCAGGCAATAAGGAATAAATAATCATTAGTATGCTCAGAATGTAGTTTATGGCACAAATACTGTCTAGACTTACAAATCCACTGGTTCATTTGCTTCATATAGACTTGCCTTTGCTCACTGAAGTCGTTTATACCATTGGCTCTCACTTTCGAGTTTTTACTAAACGTGGACATGGCCGTCCCTGTTTTGCATCATGATCAGAGACCCTTTGAGTTTATTATGCAAGAGACACCGCACCTAATCAATATGTATCATTGCATCCCTTGTTATAGCGGAGGGCTCGTAGTCTGACGGAATCTTATTTTGGAAAGGATTAGTCTGTCCTATGGTACTATTACTGTGTTACTGTAAATATAGAATGCTTAACTTGACTGTGGGGACTAGCTAGCATTTGACATTAACATGAGATTAACTGCTTGTAGCATTTTTCTGGGACTAAAGTGGTCTACCAGACATTCGTTAAGCCTTCCTTAGCGTGCAGTCTGTGCAACTGCTTTCTCCAAAATAAGTGGATGGGGTTTTTTTTTACAGAACGGGAATTAATATAGGGAAAGTGGTAAAGTGAAGAAAAAAATTATCATCTTTCATGTCAAAATTTTGTTGAGCCTGCTCTTCAGTGACTGTGGATTTCCATCGTAGATGAATCATAATATATAAAATAATCTTTTAATCAGTTGTAGATTTAATGGTGCATGTTTAACTGAGCTGCATTCAGGCTTTGTGCAGAGAGAATATTGATAAATCTAGGTGTTTATATTAGTCTTCCACTGACATGAAAAATTCTGACAATGTATTAATATGCATAACTTCATATTCACCTTGTTTATTTTAATCCTGTATGTTAATAGTAGTTCTGTGTGATAATGCTTCAGTTAATTGAAACATACATGTTTAATGTCTGGTATTAGATTTTTCCGCTATCTGATAAATCCTTTTGTAATGGTGGTTTGAGGTACACGTTGAAGATGCTGTATTTCTTTTCCCCTTACAGCTGCAGCAGCTCTCCGCAAGCAAGCCTATTCTTACTGCTAAATAACGGGATGCTCTGTTACGGTTTGGTACAGATTGAGAAATCTTGCTGCCTTTTTTCCTCTCTTTGGCCATGAATGTGGGTCCATGTATAGGTCTGGGGGTTTGATTTGAGGCCGAAGGATGTGCTAAGTGCCCAGTGGTGTGCCCAGCCTGACGCTGTGTCGGTGCTGGCAGCAAGGTGCGCTGCTTAGGGCCAGCACTGCAGTTCCACACGCTGTTTCCCCACCGCCCGCGCGTGTTCTCAGAGACGTAGCACACATTGCATCCCTGCCTATTCCCTTTGATATCTGTTTATGGACCTGTTTTATGTGAATCTACATAATGCTTTCCTAAACATCTGTCTCCAGTGTTCCCTGTGTCAGCAAGTTGGACTTTCTTTGGATTTCTCAAAGTTCCCGTTTCTTAAATGCTGACTTTTCCACTATGGATAGGGGTCTTAATTCTGCTATAAAGCCGTGAGGGTGGTGAGGTGGATTGTTTATCCCTGTTCATTTGTTTGACTTTTGAAATGTGGCGAATATTTTCTCTTTGCTGCTAATACATGGAAATGTCCAGGCTGCTTGTAGGTTGCTTCTTTTTTTTTGGGACTGCTCCTTGTAGAGTGGGGGGGGGTTATGGAGGGGGTTTTCCTCCGGCTGTTGTTGCTGGTGGGTGTTTCTTCTTTTTTCCTGTTTTTCGGTATTTGCCTCATTGTTGCTATCTTGTAATCAGATATTTGTATAGTGGATTTAGTTGGTTGCTTTCTCCTGCTGCAACAGTAAGTAGAACAGTATTGTAATTACTGGTACAGAGAAGCTTTCCCGATAATGGTTCCTGAACTGTGCTTCTGTGTCATGGAAGACCAAATGCTACCTTTTGTGTATATTTTCAGATTAGTTCTACTGGGGTGCCTAATTTTCATGTGGAATGATGGGCAAGTTGAAGGTGAACAAGCCTTTGTCTTGCTATCACCAGCTTGGAGGAGCAAAGTGATAGAGACAGGCTGTTTAGTATGTGCATTTATGGCATGGTTTCAAAGAAATGCCATTTCGCTGCAAGTAGAGTTTATGCTTTCATAAATTAGAACCTTGCAAGGCTTTTAAGAAACTCATCTGATTTTCCCTGAAAGAGTACAAGGTATTCATGTTGCCTCCTCTTCACATTACTGAAGTAGTAAATCTCTAATAAAACAGTTTTAGGGGGGGGAATGCAGATACTTAATCATAGTCTATATGTGTGTTTCCTGTTGCCTGGTCTTTTTAAGCTTGTCTTGCAGAACAACAGCTTCATAAATTGTTTGAACAGAAATTTGTACATTTGACTGGGCTAAGCAATAAGTAGTGTGCAAAAATGAATATTCTGCAGTGCTTTTTGATAATTCAGTGTGAATATAGAAGTTAGTTATGTGAAGCACAGCTTCTGAATGCAGCCTTGTTGCTTGGGTAGAGTTCCTTCGTACTTTCAAAGTCAGCCTGCACCTAATCTGAACTGTTTTCTGAACTTAGTTTTATGAAACAGAGTTACTGAGAATGGTTTTCTTCCATGCTAATCATGGGGCTAAGATTTCTTAGTTGTCATTGCTTGATGAATTTCTTTGCACTTATAAATTTCAGACAAAAATGAACTACTGCTCGTGCTAAGCAGTCATGCATTTCCATATTTTCAAATTGCTGAAAACAGTGAAGATTTATCTGTTCTGTTGCCTATTTACTTATCAGCAGCTGTTCTTTTTACCAGCAAAATTACCATTTGCATACTCCTGTTTTTCAGTTCTAGCATTTAATTTTTGTGCTGTTTGTCTGCCTATCCAACTACATAACATCCTATAATAATATTTTTTTCCTGACAATATCGAATGATTAAACTAATGCACCTATAACCTTAAAAGCTTTGATAATGTTTGTTGTTCAGACTGCTTTAGTGGTTGATTTCAAGGTTAACTCTTGAATGTTAATAACCACAAGCATGCTGTGGTCAGTATAGATTAATTTATTTTTTCCCCCAATTGATTTAAGCTTAAAAAGCTGTTTCACTATCATTTTAAGATTACGTGATTAGTAGTTCTTTTGGTACCCAGTATAAAATAGACAAAATTGAAATTAAAATCAAGATTGTCTGTGATAGACAACTATATTGGTGCCTAATGTATTTGAACGTGCTTGTGAAAAGGTAAATCTGTGATGTTACAGCTGATATGAATTATTACTTAAAAAGAATATAGAATGTATTTTGTTCTGGGAACAGCTTCCTTATTTACAGGATTTTTATTTCCTATACACCATTTTTCAAGCCATCTCGAATCAGGTTCCTGCTACTGTTTAATCTTACGTGGTCACAGCACAGTTTTTTAAGTTGCAAGAAATTAGGAAGATAAACCGTTCTTTTGAAAATAATCTGTGCTACTTTTGGACAAATGTCTTAGCATCAAAAAATAAGAAGTGGAAGCCCCTTAAGAAACAAAAGTCATATGCTTATCCTGACTGCGCAAAGTATTCTGGGGTTAGCTGGGATGCAGATCTGCAGTGTTAGCTTTGTAGAGCAGCTGCCTGCCAGTAGTCAAGAGCATTGACTTGGCCGATTACTGAAGAGTAGACCGTGTGCTGGATGTTCTCAGCTGGGGTTCCATGTAGCAAAAGTTGTTTCTGGCACTGTCTTTTTAAGAAGCGACCAACATTATATGCACTGGCACGAAAGGTGATGTAGTTTGTAGAGTATAAGTTGCCTCTGAAACCAAGTATACTTGACATATCCCCTACTGAATGAGGAGGAAGGGTGTGAAATGGTGCAAATGTGACAGTGCTCTTTGGGGAAGGATGATGTCGAGATTGTCCGCTTGTTCTTGAAAGCATATGTTTGTAAACTATGCAAGAGTGGGAAAGAACAGAAAATAGAATTTCATTCTAAAATGCATCTTTAAGTTGCAAGGAAGTGCTTGTCAAGGCACTCTTTATGATTAAACTGAGAATGATAAGTGGACTTCATGGATTATGTCGTAAAACTCAGTATTGTGGATTCAGTTTGTTTTAATATTACTATTTGTCAGGGGCTTCTCTGCAGAGACTCTGGTTTTCATCTAGTTCTGGAGTTGCTTTGTGCGATGGTGATGTCATGATTTCCAGTGGAGGTTTCTCTCATGATGTGTCAGTGGTTGTTTAGTACAAGTTACAGAAATAGGGGTTTACATTACAATAGCACATGACGAGAAGCCTCATTTCTCTAGAGCAGCCTCTCTTTTTGGTGCTGTACTGTGAGTCCTTTACTTCTTTTTAATTATCAGTAACTTTTATTATTCAGATCTGCCTTTGATGTTAACGGAGGATTTCACTGATGTTGGCTTCTAGAAATCAGTTTAATTTCAATAAAAGAGAAATATTTGATCTTTTCTCCATGTCTATCCCTTAAATAATTTCTGTAACTGAGTACATGCGTTAATAAGATCATTCATTTAACTAGCTACATGCATTAATAAGGTAAAATCTCTTTGAACCTTGGTTATTTTTAAATCTTTGAACTAGATTTAAAAGAATGAAACATTAGAATTTTTACCAATAAATTTAAATAGAAATTGAATAATTTGAATTAATGGTAGAATTAAGTAGTGACATTTCAACATTAAATATGATTTCTTGGTATATTACAGTAGATATTTTCACTTAACTTTTATGAATAATAGGATTTTTATGAGTAGTAATTCAGAAAAATGTGAGTCTACTTAAAGGAATCATTCTCCTATTTATACTGACATTGTTTTTTCCCCTCTGATACCCTTTCTGGAATCTGGAAGCTTTTTACTCATTGTCATTTTTTCCTTAGTTTCAGCCCAGACTCTGAAGAGCAACCTTGATTCAATGAACCATCAGATCAAGCGCCTAGAAGATGACATTGAGAATTTCCCTAAAACACAGGATGAACATGATAAGTTTGTAGAAAAGATGAGCATATCCTTTTTGCATGTCTTCGCTGGTGATCTGAACGTTCTGATTGTCTGGTTAAGTATTTACAGCACTGGAAAATAAGTTTTAAGTCTCTTTTTCAGTACTTTTATTCTAGTGCAGAGAGAAGTGTAACAGAACATGCTGAATGTAGGAAAACATGTAACAGTGTAAATTAAAGCATTTATGATCAGACTGGCAAGGAGGAAACCAGGTACCTTTCTTGAAGGAAGTAGATATAATGACCATTCATAAAGATGATAATATCGGGTTTGGGGTTTTTTTTTTTTTTTCCTTAAAGCACAGTATTTAGTGATAATTGTTGAATCATTTCAATCTAGAAAGCTATCAGCAGCAGAAGTGAGACTATTTTTTATTTTAGCTCTAGATGTGTTATTTTTGAAGGGGAAAAAATTACTTTGTTCATGTTTTCCTTTTTTTTTTGAACAGACCATTTTAGAGAAAAAATATTTACATTTTTTGTACTGAGGAGTGATTTGTCCTTTTATTATTAATAGATAATATAATAATTTATTAATTTTTTTTTATTAATAGAGACTGGAGATTGTTTAAGTACTAGTAAGTAATATCTGTGGGAGAATACCAAATGAAGCCTGTCTAGCCCATTTGCCCTCCAAAATTTTCATGTATCCCGCTTTACTTTTGCTCAAAAGTATGGAGTAACAAGTGTATTGTAGATGCAAGATCATCACAAAACTATTAGAAAGACTAAGCAAAAGTCCTTTTTTTTCTTCCAAGAAATTTACAGGCTTTTATTTTGCATAAAGCACATTTCTGTATATATGGAAGTATTTCAAATACAGTACGTGGCCAAGTCCAAGGCGTTCTGTGCGTTTATTGAAGCTGAGATAGTTCATGTGACATCTGTTCTTTCTGCTTGCAACCAGACAGAAGTCATGGTTATGTGGTTTTGTGGGTTTTGCAAGGTGAAAAAAAAAAACAGAGGGGATTGATGCCTAAAGCCATTCGTAGCTGCTCATGTTTAGTAGGTGAACGTAATGAAGAGGTTCTCCTGACCTCTGTGTATTTGGAAAGTAAGTTTTAGCGGGATTAACAATCTGAATGATATCAGTGACAGCAATTCACAGGAAGATGTTTAAGAACTTCTCTATATGGATTTATTTTAAGTTTCTGACAAGACTGCAGGAAAGTAGCTGAAGAGAGACAACTCATGACTAAGTGGAAAATTGTTTCTTGTGGCTTAGATATTCTCATCGACCTTGTCTTATTTGCGAGGTTAAGAGACTTGCTAGTCATTACATTTATCAGTTCAGCTATTTAAAAAAAAAGCTTATTTCCCTGAGATATGTTCACATCAGAAAATCTTATAATATTGCCTTGTAATTCTTCTTTGCCTTGTCGTCGTGTGTGTAGGCTGAATGCTGTCAAGGCCCACTTTTGTTCATAAATGAAACCAACATATTGAAACGCATCTTTTGCAACTGTGTTTTCTTTGTAAGCTTGACAGCTCTGTTTTACAGGTTATATACGTTATTCTTCAGTAGTGTTGAGTAAGTGCTTTGCCATTTGTTGTTTTGCTACCTATGTATTTACTGTATTTATAAAAATGATTGGCATCACTCAAGCCATTTGGTGAGAACAAAGAGCCAAGTAGGTAATGTTTACCTTCTTCGGCTCTGTGGTTTATCACTTGAATTTCTTAAAGAAGAAAGATTGTCTGACAATGCAAAAGAGTCTTAAAAAAAAAAAGGCACAAATGTGTTTTTGTATTAGCAAAAGTATGACTATCGTATGAAGTTTTTGAAAATCAATTGTTACATGTTTCCTGGGCAGCCTTGCTTCAGTGCACGCACAGTGATCTCACAGCTGGATTTTCAGTTCCTGATAATTAAAATAGGCACCCTGAACTGTAGATGTCTAACGGCTTGTATCATACCAGTGGATTTGGTGGCTTGACAACATAGATAAGACTGTAAGAAATGAACTGATTCTGCCTAAGGATTTATGTTTTCATAATTAATAGATGACCTGATAAATGGTGCTTTTCTTTTTTAGAAAGTCATCTCCAGTTATGTCAAGTGATCGAATCTGCTTCTCGCTGAATATTTTGAAATTTTCTACACGCCCATTTTTTTTTTTTTTTTTTTTGGGCGGGGAAAATGTTGGGGGGGGAAGAGAAATCATATCGTAGTCTTCAGTATGTATTTCTTTTGTTGTTGTCAGCTTGCTGCAGACTTGTTGATAGCACATACTGAGATTAGAAAGTTAAAGAATTTCAGGCTGAACATCCCTCTGTCTGCTTCAGTGTTTCAGAAAACTCAAGACGTGTCTGAACATAAATCATCTCTCAGTAGAGAGTTTTCGGATGCAGGAACTCTGCTATAATTAAAGGCAGTTTCTCTGTCCTGTTCCTGCTAATAAACAAAGCTGTATTCTGGTAATTGGGATGAGACTTGCTTCAGAGAATACGAAAGGAGTGTTACGTGGTAGCATATTGAGGTAGGAGATAAATGACAATAAAAGTACCATTCATAATATTCATAATAATAACATTAATATTAGTAGTATAGAAGTAAAAGCTATAAAAGAAATCACTTAAATTTAGACTTTAAACTTTTTTCAGCAAATAAGGCAAGTTTTTGGTACTGTGACTGACAAAGATGAATAGAAATTCTGCTTACATTTTTATCTAGGATTTTTTTCTTTGACATATTTTCAAGTGGCCTGATTTGTGATTTCACTTAATCAATTTTTTATGTAGCGCGTACAATTCGTTAACCTTAACGCATACTACTTGATGTAACAAATGTTTAAAAATAACTTAAAACTAATTTAGGAATTAAATACAAAGACAGAAAGAGTGGTATGTTACTATTCCACAACTTGTTTTTAAAAAATTGCTATATATTGCAGAAGTAATATGTTCAGGTAAACAGATCTCATTGATTAAAAAACTTTAAATTAAAGCTGTTAAATTAATGTATATTTGACTGCAGTCTGCTAACTTGATATGATAATGGTTATGTTAATACATTTTCATTATTTACAAACTGAGGGCAATGGGTTAATTTTATCTGAATAGTTTATGTTTAAAGTAAGACTATAAGCAACTAAATGAAGGGACCTGATGACAGAAGCACATTCAGTTTTACATTCACGTGCGTTAGTTTTGTAATTGCATCAGTGTGACTTCCTGCGGAAGGGTGGTTTTTTCCATTTATGATCGTAAGGCTTAATGCATATAATAAAAGAAATTCAGATGATGTAGCTGTAGGTTGATCGCTATCTTTCGTAAGTGATTAGTAACTAAGATGTAGTATGATAACATGATTTGATTTCAAGCATAATAGAACAGTCTCAGCAAATAATGTCGCTATCAACTTCATACCTTCTTGTTTAACTACAAGCATGTATTGTATAACAGTATACAATCTTCATTTTAAAATTCCAACTAGTATAAGTTCTGCTGCATCTGTAATCGATTGTACCAATGATTTTTCTCTCAAATATATGTAATGATGTTGATTTGACTCACGGTTTTGGTTTCTAGGCATTGTGACAATTTAACAGCCTTAGAAGTTTTTTGGGACCTGCGTGTTGGTAGATATGTTTATCTCCGTGTGAGAATTTTTATACTGTGATCAGGTTACTTAAATCTATCTGCAATGACAAAGTAGATTCACTTTAGTTTAGGACTTTTATCCCCAGTCTTTACTGGTATTTTTTAATATGCATTTGAAATACTGATTTCCACTAAATACAGTATTTCAGTCATTTTGTAGCTTCATAGGTGTGAAGAGTAGAGAATGTAATATTATTTATCTCTTTGTCCATCAAGGAACTGTCTCTGTTACCACCATCATTGTAGTGGAACTTTACGTTGAATTAGTAAACACAGTTCAGACTTGCTTCCATGATCACTACTTTCTGGGACACAGTTCTGCATCTCATGAGCTTGTGTCTAGGTTGTTTGTAGTGAAGACTATGGACTATTTGAGATAGCTTTATGGAAATACTTCTGTGGGATTCTGAAATGAATTCTGAAGCATTTTTTCTAGTTACTGTCATGCTAGATTTTTAGCTTTTCTGTCTTTGTATAGGGATTTTGGTAACAGTCTGAAGTCATTGGGATCATGAAGCTGACCTGTGTGGTTGGCCACCACAAATAGTTTATTTCAAACTGAGGATTACAGCTATGCTGTAACATATGAATATGGTATGGTTTAAAAAAAAGAAAGGAGATACATTAAAATATACTTTCTGTGAATTTCGTGCTATATTAAAAACATATGCGCAATTCTTGAGACAACTTTTTTGTGATCTGATCCATGGCTAGAATTGTACTTTACTGGAAATCAAACTGTAAATAGTTTAACTTTAAATGTGAGAGGTTTCTTTTATATTTAGCCCAGGTTCAAGCAGAACTGGGGATTCAGATTCAACAGTTTAGAAAAGTAATTAGACTGACAAATCTGGCTTCCGCTCCTTGTTTTATTTCAGTTTTTTATGTCTCTTAATTGAAGATTTTTTCAAGTGAAAAGCTCTGAATTTTATAGTTAGTTGCTGTAGGTGTATATGCGGGTTTCTTTTTAGTGATTTTAAAACGCGACTGTTTAGTTGAGGAATGAGGAAGATATTAAGATTAATGGGGTTTAACTTTAAATGTTATTGAGAAAGATTAAAGACAACAGAATTAAAGGCTATTTTAGAGGGAGCAGTGGAAAGTTGTATAGAGGTAACTTATTAATTAATCTTCACTTGGAAATGTAGATAAATAAATGATAAACACCACCTCTTCCCTGCTCCCAAGATGGGCATGCACCCCCAGTGACAAACACTTATTCCTCTAGAAAATGGGCAGGAGCGGCGTTCAGAGAAGGGAGATGTGGAGGAGCTAGGGTGGCGGGAGGGCCCGCTGCTTCATCCCTGGGCGTTCTGTTCATGCTTTTTGCTATCCTGCTAGTTAAAGAGTGACTCTTTGCTGCGTTGCTTTTGGACCGTTGCATAGTTCATAAACAATCTTA